GGAAGAAACCAGAAAGAGAATGTAGGATTAAGAAAGGAAGAAACCAGAAAGAGAATGTAGGATTCAGAAGGGAAGAAACCAGAAAGATAATGTAGGATTAAGAAATGAAGAAATCAGAAAGAGAATGTAGGATTAAGAAAAGAAGAAACCAGAAAGAAAATGTAGGATTAAGAAAGGAAGAAACCAAGAAAGGCATGTACATTTGTTGCTGTAACGTATACTGGATCGACTTTACACCGTGTGTATTCCGGACTGGACAGTGCGACTGAAAGCATATACAGTATATGTTGTACTGGCTCGGATATTGCAACTTTTAGAGTGGGGTGGACTGCGTACTTGCCTTCTATGAATATCTTTGAATCTAATTACCCAATATTGAGGGTTTGTTTAGATAATTAATTGCAGATTATTAAACTATAAAGTGATCTGGCAAGGTGTACAACTCTAATTTAATCAAGCAATTAATTAGTTTATTCTGGTTTAGTCTACTTTAGGCGTCTGATTGACGTGAATACAAGGATCAAAATGTGGACAAAATTTTATCATTATTTTTTTCAACTCATTCTAGTTGGAGCTTCAGAATGTAAGTGTACTTCAACGAGGTTATAGTGTATAGAGTGATGATGTACGCTAATCCTTTACTAATTGTATAGACCATGTACTATACCGAGAGCGTACTGCATATTTGTTTATTATAAGTTGATTCTGGCCTAACCTATGGTATATCAATATTAGTAAACAATTTTAAGTGTAAAGTACAGCTAACTGAGCACACAGATAGAGAGCTATCATCCCCCCTGATGTACTTCTAGGATCACAAAAAGTATAGTTATCAAGCAACAAGGTAAATCAAAATGCCAAGGTGTTGCCACACTTCATAATCAATCCAGTAATATCTCACAGTGATCCAAAGGTTCCAAGCTCTCTCGAACATATCGTTGAGAGTTTTTCCAATCACTTCTTAAAACTTAAAAACTAATAGAGAATGAAGGAGTAAAAATTGATGACAAGAAGAAGTAATA